GTTCCCCTGCTGTGATCTATTGATAGTCAGCCCTCAGCACAAGAAAAATAAAAGCCAGACCAAAATCAAGGGGAAGGAAAATGGATCCTAACTCTTGAGAAGAGAAACTAAAAATTCACATTTGAACTTGATGTAATGAGTACTGGGTGTTACATGCAACTGATGAATCACTAAATTCTACCCCTGAAACTAATAATATACTATATGTTAACTATATTGAATTTAAGTAAAAATACTTTAAAAAATACACATTTGAAAGATTAGAGATAGGGACATGGGTGTGTGTGTGTGTGTGTGTGTGTGTGTGTGTGTGTAAAGATTTAGAAACATTTTTCAATCCATCTACACCATGGCTTCTTATGGACCACCAAATTAACAAAGGGTTTCAGTGCTATGATTGGTTAATCTTTATGTGCTATAGAATATAAACGATAAGATGAACAATCACATATCAAAGGAAAATCTTACTAGGTTTCCCTCCATTTTTGGCTTTCAGACTTAGTACATAAAACGTGTGTTTCTATACAGCTCACAAATCATCTCACCCCAAATCATTTTCTGGATAATAATAAACAACAAATAGATGCTGATGACCTGAAACTGTCTCAGAAGTCACCTTTACAATACTGAAGATTGAGCAGTAAATAGAATCAGCAGGCTGCTGTAATTTACCTCAAAGCAGATCTCCAAAATGACTTACTAAATTATTCCACTGAAAGTTGTAAATCTGAGTGAGAAAAGTACAAATCAATAGAAAAACACAGTTGAACATTTTACTACCTATGATTTTTCACGACCTTCTGGAAGAATAAAGTTTGATGTTGTAAAGAAATTCCAAAACATGAAAACTTGTAAACATGAACTGGCTATGGTTTGAATTATTAATTCATGCTATTTTTGCTGTCACTAACTTCTTTTATTAACCTTTTTTTTGCTTATATACTTATTCTTTATACCCTGCCGTGCAGAATTTGGAAGTTAAGGAAGTTTGAAGATCTGTCAACTCCGTATTTGCTCATGAAGGAAATTGTATGAAGGCACAGCACTGTGTTTTCTGAACTTCAGGTGAAGTGTGAACTCAGTAGAAGTGGGAGTGAGAAAAGGAACCTTGACCTGCGTATTCTGGACATTTCATAGAAATGGAATCATAGAATATATAGCCTCTTGTGTCTGGCTTCTCCTGGAACCCTTTTGATGAGTGAAAGAACATATAAACCTGATGTTCTCAACTCCTGGGGTGCCCTTGCTCTTGCCCCACCTGCCTGGAGGCCAGTCTCAGCCTGGCAACCCATCTCCACAAGAGGTCAAAAGTACAAATCCATTTTCTCAAGCATTAAGTGAATGGTCGCCATTTTGGCAGAGCTATCTTATAGAGCTGAAGGGGAGGCTTAGTGCATATCACTCAGCAAAAGCATCCCAATCCTTCTCCATTTCTAAAGCAAACCTTTTGTTGCTTTTCTCTTCCTTTCTCCTCAGAAATCTCCACCCTCCCCTGAGTGCACAACCGACTGTTCACCACCACATGAACACTTGCTCATTCACCCACTGATACTAATTGTAGTCCTTGGTGTGTGAGGACAGAGATAACATGTAGGCTTTCAATGCATGAGGCACATCGGCAACGTGTATAATCTTGAGAAGATGGTCTGGGCTAGGGTCCCAATAGGTGCTCCCGTCAATGTACAGAGAGAAGAGCTGGCTAAGCACCTCATCCCAGGCCTTGTGGACATTCACAGGGGACTTACATTCTGCTCATCAATCAGAGGAAAAGCTAAAGCAAAGAAATGGCCATTTACAAATTCACTTTGAGTTTGGATGTATTCCAGGGAATAGAGAGGCAGAAAGCAGCCTTATCTTTTTACTGGAACTAGGTAAAAACAACACAACTCAATTAACTTAAATATGCACTAATGATTTGTCCCAGATGAGCATCAGGAAGAATTTGGCACAAGAAGACAAACAATTAGAACAAAAAGGTGTCTCTCCAATTGCATTGCTTAAAAAAAGATTTAATTGGTTTATTGAGGAGTCTTATCTCATTTTGAAGTAAACACGATTTCCCCAAATTACTGCTTTTAATTTTAATCTGTTCACTCTCTTCCCCAATGGATATCAAGTCCCTTAAAATCATCTTGCCAGATTTTTCAACTAGCAAAAACTTAATCAAACTTACCTAAACTGACATCCATATATCAATTAACAGAACTATCCTTTCTTTCTTGGACAATGGGAAGGTTAATTTTGGAAAATGTTGCCATTTATGATTACCTTATACTTTTTACAATTAAGAACTGGTTAAAATAACACAATTCCTTAATATAGAACTTAAGGAAGAATCAATCTTAAGTGCATTCCACACCAAGGATCATACCTTATTCATCCTCATCTTTCCAATACCTAGGAGTTTTTGGCACCACAGTAGGTGGTTGTTAATAAATGCTCAGATAAACTTACTGTTGACAAGCTAAATATTAAAGGGCAGAGGCCACTGAGTTATTAGAACAATGGAAAAACAGGGTAACTGCACTTCCTCAAATTAGTTATTTAAGAGACATTATTACAGAGTTAATAAAATCTAGTGACAGATATCAACCCTTAAATTGCTAGTTTAAATAATTTTTTAAATTTTTTAAAAAGATTTTATTTATTTATTTGACAGAGACACACAAAGTGAGACCAGGAACACAAGCAGGGGAGTGGGAGAGGGAGAAGCGGGCCTCCCGCCGAGCAGGGAGCCCGATGCAGGGCTCAATCCCAGGACTCTGGGATCATGACCAGAGCTGAAGGCAGACACTCAACGACTAAGTCACCCAGGCACCCCCAAAATTTTTTTTAATTTTAAGTAGACTCCACACCCAACATGGGGCTTGAACTCACGACTCTTAAGAGTCGCATGCTCTAGGGGCGCCTGGGTGGCTCAGCTGGTTAAGCGGCTGCCTTCGGCTCAGGTCATGATCCCGGGGTCCTGGGATCTAGCCCCGCATTGGGCTCCCTGCTCCGTGGGGAGCCTGCTTCTCCCTCTCCCTCTGCCTGCCTCTCTGCTTACTTGTTCTCTCTCTCTCTGTCAAATAAATAAATAAAATCTTTAAAAAAAAAAAAAAAGAGTCGCATGCTCTATCGACTGAGCCAGCCAGGCACCTCAATAAATTTTTCTTTTGCTTTTTTTGTGCACATTGTACTACGGAATGATTTTTTTTTTAAAGATTTTATTTATTTGGGCGCCTGGGTGGCTCAGATGGTTAAGCGTCTGCCTTCAGCTCAGGTCATGATCCCAGGGTCCTGGGATCGAGTCCCGCATCGGGCTCCCTGCTCCTTGGGAGCCTGCTTCTCCCTCTGCTTCTCTCTCTCTCCCCCTCTGTCTCTCATGAATAAATAAAACCTTAAAAAAAAAAAAGATTTTATTTTTTCGATAGAGAGAGAGCAAGAGGGAACACAAGCAGGGGGGGTAGGAGAGGGAGAAGCAGGCTTCCCAAGGAGCAGGGAGTCGGATGCAGGGCTTGATCCCAGGACCCTGGGATCATGACCTGAGCTGAAGGCAGACGCTTAACGACTGAGTCACCCAGGCACCCCGGTACTACGGAATGATTTATAAATCTACTTTTGTTCAGACAGAAGTGTTTTTTTTTGTTCTCAAATGTTCTTTTCAAAGTCCTAGTACGAGGACCTGATATACAAGTTATTGAAATATTATTTTCAATATACCTTTAAATGACTTAAAAGAAAAACATTAACATGATAAATGTGACACTTAACTGCAAGGTTTGGCAGTGTAGGAAAATAACAATTTAAAAACTGACAAGAGGAAGATAACGTAGAATTTTTAGAAGAACGGTCTAGACATTTAAATCATATTTTTAACTGATTATTTGAAAAAACGATTAATGATATATAATAAAGGGAATTTTGAAGTTCTTTAAATCAACCAAAGCTGCAAATAATTAGCTTAAAGGAAGTTATGATTAGGAAATGCCTTGTAGGAAGAAAACTTTTCATTATTAGAAAATGAATGAATTGTAAACTCAAGGTATACAACTGTATAAATGTTCCCAGAGATGGTCTGTGTTCATTTCACTGGAGACGTTAAACAAGGAGATTCTTGTAAGGGAAATTTTTTTTTTCTTTTCCAGGCCATGAATAATTACTGATTAAACTTTTTCAGCAATTTAGAGCACACTGCAGGTGCACCAGATTTAATTGAAGAGGCACTGCATAAACCAAATGGAGATGAAACATAGTATGAACTCAGTGCTATTCCTGATTAGACACCCAAAACCTGAGTCTTACTTAGCTACTAACCCCACACTAAGATGATGTCTACTCTGATTTACAGGTTCTGAATCTCACTGGTCAGTATATGCAGAAATCTCTTTGATGGAACCACTGAACCATTTCAGATTTTTAAAAAATCCCCTGTGGCCTTTGTCATTCATGACCAATGGCCTTTGGAAGTTAAGGTCAACTGAACTGAACTACAAGAAAAGGCAGGTGCTATAGTCAAGGCTTGTACGGTGCTGGGATCCCTTTGAGTTACAACTTTCTTAAATGTCTAGGCCATTTTCATAAAAATTATTATGTTATCCTCCTCTCATCACTTTTTAAGCTGTTATTTTCCTAAACTGCCAAACCTTGCAGTTAAGTATCACATTCATCACGTTAATGTTTTCCTTTTAAGCATCCTGGGGGAGAAGGGGGCACATGAGAGACTAAAATGAGGATTAGAAGGGTGACTGCAGAGATCATCAGCTGGCAATGGTGCACGAGGATAAATGTGTTGGCCCCAGACGACCTCAGAGGGCAGCAGCAAGATAGCAAAAAACTGCGCTGACTCCCAGTAGCCACCTTCTTCTGGTCAAGCCACCAAGTGGGGCAAAATCAAAGAGGGATAGAAAACAAAAGGCCTTAGCAAAAAAAGGCACAAAAGTAAAACAAAATAAAACAAAAAGTTATGAGTCAAGAGATTACTTCACTGTTCCTTTGCAACAAAGAGGACAAAGCCAGAGTGAAAACTCCTGGTTCTTTGCAACAAGATGGGCAACACTTTATTTAGATCACCAAAAATAAGGTTTTACAGAAAGGGAACCATAACATTATACAACAAAGTATAGCTGTAAAATCTCAAACAAGAGAGGCAACACTTTATTTAGATTACCAAAAATAAGGTTTTGGAGAAAAGGAACTGTAACAAGCAAATGTGTGACTGCAAATTTTCTTTTGCCATCGATATCAATTCCCTCTAAAATATTTTGGGACTACTTTGTGATTTCCAAGCAAAACTAAAATTTGTTGGACAGACTCGCTGAGCCTCATCACAAGAATGAAAACAATTTGGAAAACAATTTTGCTTAATGCTAACAAATAACTAAAAAACGTGGTTATTGCTAACAAATTAATTCCAACAGCTACTGAAACAGCCTGACCTACACATGCTCTTATTAACGCTTCACTGTGAACACAGCTGTTCTTTTCCTGCTGTCACAGATGACATGAACAGTGGCAAGGGTCTCATGCTGGAGGCTGGTCAGGCACCTAGGAAATAAACCTTAACAGAAATAACTACAGTATGTAAGCAACTCAAACAAATGGGCCCACCTCTGCCAGAGCCCCCAAGGGTGGGTGTTGTGTCAGCTCTGAAAGAAGGTCCCCCATCTCCCTAGATCTTCAATGGGAACCTAGAGCACAGAGCTAGACAGAGAAGCTGTTCTTCTAGAACCATCAAAACTTCAATAAATCGCCCTGGGGTTCTTGGTGCTATAGTGCGCCTCACAGGCAGCAACATAGGCCGACTCTGGAAAGAAGTCATCATGATACTCTGCCAAAAACCTGGGAAAAGAAGAAAATGGCCCTGATGATCTTTACAGTGAGGACTCAACACAAGCAAGCAAAATTTTAACTTGCAACCATTTGAACATTTCACCTTTTTTTGGTATTCCAAAGGAAAAAAACTGAACATAATTTTGATTTCTAGGTATATCTGGCTTCTACATTAATTACTATTTCATTGGGATCCTTTCACTATCAAGTGTACAAAGAGAATAGAACCTAAACTCCACTAGGTGGCAGGCTTCATTATACAAACACTGTTAAAAAGAAAAACAAACTGGTTCTGACGAGTACTGCATTTTCCTGTTATAAAACCAATATTGGGGCGCCTGGGTAGTTCAGTCGGTTAAGCGTCTGCCTTCAGCTCAGGTCATGATTCCAGGGTCCTGGGATCGAGCCCTGCATTGGGCTCCCTGCTCAGCGGGGAGCCTGCTTCTCCCTCTGCCCTTCCCCCTGCTCATGCTTGTGCTCTCTCTCCAATAGATAAATAAAATCTTTTTTTTTTTAAAGCTATAAACTCAACCAATGTCACTTGAGAAATTCCCAATACTTTCTACAGGCTAAGCTAAACCAAAATTGAATAGTATAAATAGTAAAGAGTATCTGGGTCCTAATTTGCCATTCCAAAAGGTGTTACAGTTCCAGCTTATAGTAGCAAAACTCATAAACAAGGCTGACTTATGTCTGATGATGAACGTTATAATGAGGGCAGTCATTCAAAAGTTCACATTATGCAGATGCTATCTTGCATCTGAAGTGTCAAAGATTTTGCCACAGTGGGGCTTAAACATTCTCACATGGGCCATATTAACCACAAAGCTAATTTAGTTTCATGTTTGTTTCTCCAGCCTCTTTCCACCTGTCCAAATTCCTAAAAATGTAAGGATAAACCCAATACCTTCTTTAGTAAAAACTGAGTCAAAATTCATTAGATAGTTAACTCCTTCTTCTTTGGACTCTGCCATTCTTAAGGTGATTATTGAGTCCACCGATTCTCTAATTGACGTTTTGGATACATTTTCAACATCAATTCCTGTATTTGTAAATCTTTCTAAGTTAATTCTTAAAACCCTAATTTCTATTTTGCATTGGGCATACCTCAAAATCAGCAGGCTTTCCTATGCTATAACTTGCAGCCATTCTTCATATTTTATTGGCATTATTTGATTTTGGCCTACACAGTCTTTATGCCAAATAGAATTGTGTGTTTGAGGGGGAGGTTGGAAGGGAAGAGTATATTTTCCTAATTGTTTCTAATAACGTGTAATAAAGTTTCATTTCACTCACGGACGCTTTACTCAAAATGTCTACATAAAAATATCCTTTAAAAACTCCGAAAACCTATTTCTTTGCCTGGAATACTTTCCACACTGATAAATCCTACTTGTTTAGTTCTTGCAGGTTGAAGCCTGACTACAAGGAAGAGGTACCCCCTTACAGAAAAGGAAGAAGTAAGATCAGGCAGATAGATGAGCTGGGTAAGGCAGTGTGATGAGCAGCCTTGAACACCAACCAGAGGAACTGGTCAATAAACATCTGGGTGGGAGAGAGCTGGGCCCCAGGCACAAGGGAGTCTGGGGCCCACAGCATGGTGCAAGGAGTAGGGGGCAGAGCCTCAGGGCAAATGATCCTAAGATATAATGACTGGCTCTGTTGGATGAAGGAAACAATACCTTTCTCTGAGTTTACAAACTGTCAGCATGTACTGGTCATTTATCTTAACTCTAAACACAAAAATTCAACCTGTAAAAGCTAATATTTAGGTTAGTTTATGTATATGCAACAAAGAAAAGTCTAATATAAGGTACTTCTGAATAAAAAATTTAAACTAAATTATCAATCTCATCACTTCTACTGTAAAAAATTTTCTATTCACAGTTACCCAACTGGATTCTTCTAGTGACACAAAAAATTTTCTCTCTACACAATAAATTACAGAAAAAGGAAACAGCCAAAAACCCCTGATGTGACAATTACAGAATCAATCATACTTAGCTAATAGCGTGACTATTTAAAATACCACAGAACTAGCTTCCACATCTATTATGGAGGAGTTCAGGAAAGTCATATATAAGGCAGCAGAGGTAACTTTTTACAAACAAATTTAAATACCTAAGAAAGAGATCAAAGTGCTTCAGTAAAGCCTTCAGATTCTTCTCAGAAAAGGACATCTTTCCAAGGATTTCTGGAAGTTTCACTGCATTAAAAATAAAACCGGAACCATTTACAATTGGCAGACTCTGGCAATGAGCAGGACACACTGAGGGTCCTTGTTTATCCTATTTAAACTGAAATTAACATCTACATTATCAAAAAAACCCAAAAACTCTTATTTAACACAGTACAGTGGTACAAATGGTATAAAGACAATTTTTATGAAATTTAAGATTCATTCAGTGCCTTTTTTTAAGAGGTCATTTTCAATGATTTTTCTTAGACCCTCAAAATTACCATGAGACGTACATAAACTAACAAGGATATTAAAACCAAAGTGGAGGGGTGCCTGGCTGGCTCAGTTGGAAAAGCATGTGACTTTTGATCTCAGGGTCATAAGTTCAAGCCCCACACTGGGTGTAGAGATTACTAAAAAAAAAAAAATAGATTAAAAAAAAACCCAAAGTGGAGGGGAAAGGGTGGGGGAAGGCAGAAGGAAGCAGGGACCAGGATTTCTTACCAAACAATCGTAGCAAGTGTTGTGCCCCATAAATGTAAGAGGGTGGAGGCAGCTGGTCACCTGGGGGGTAACTGTCGGGTACAAGTTTCCAGGAGAGGACCTGAGAAAAGATATAACAACAAATCATTCAATTTCTGCTTAACACTGTTATCAAGAGATCTCAAAATTTGGAATCCCAGCAGAAATACACATGCTTTGAGGTTCTCATCTCAAACTGAGTGTCACATTTTCACTCCCAAGCTTCCTGTCCTTCTAGCAACTTAGGAGTTGCTTCACAGCTGGGCCAGAAAATGGGAGTAAACAGTAACAACAAACCAATGTGGAATTTTGAAAGCCACCCCTCTAACGTTCCCATGAAGCTCTTTAAGGGCATGATCTTTTTTTTTTTTTTTAAAGATTTTATTTATTTGAGAGAGAGAGAATGAGAGATAGAGAGCATGAGAGGGAAGAGGGTCAGAGGGAGAAGCAGACTCCCTGCCGAGCAGGGAGCCCGATGCGGGACTCGATCCCGGGACTCCAGGATCATGACCTGAGCCGAAGGCAGTCGCTTAACCAACTGAGCCACCCAGGCACCCTAAGGGCATGATCTTGGCATATAGGAGAGTATAATGCATTATGTTGAAAAGGATCAAGCTACAAAATAACGAAGTTCAATATGACTTGGAAAAAATACACAATATAATGTGTATAATTATTATGTAAATACACAGAACTACCAAGAAGTATATACCAAAATGTTAAATGTCCATTTCTTATTGGTGAAATTATGATTTAGGCAGTTTGGGAGGATAAAGGTATGCATTTTCCATATTGATTATATATTAGCATATATCTGATAGTTTCCTACAATCTTTTCAAAACATTTTTGCCTTTTAAATCACGTGAGGATCCACCTTCCTTGGCAACATGGAGATACTTCTCATCCCTTAAAAGTTGTAACAATAAATTGCATGTAGAGGAAAAAATATGGCTCTATGTCAAAATAAAAACAAATTTATAAAAATAAAGTGTGGGGGCAGCTGGGTGGCTCAGTCAGTTAAGCGTTTGCCTTAGGCTCAGGTCATGATCCCAGGGTCCTGGGATCGAGCCCCACGTCAGGCTCCCTGCTCAGTGGGAAGCCTGCTTCTCTCTCTCCCACTCCCCTTGCTTGTGTTCCCTCTCTCGCTGTTTCTCTGTCAAATAAATAAAATCTTAAAAAAAAAAAGTGTGTGTGTAGGGGGAAGGGAGACTAAAGTAAGATTAAGGAAATATTTGATTTCCCAATTCTCAACAGCTATTACCTATAAATTAGCTTAACTGTTTTGGTCATTTTATACCTTTTCCTTTATAGGAAATCATTCTATGTTAGAGAATATAGTAGTAAAAAGTAACCCAAACATGTTGTGAGTAATATTACCATTGTTTTAAGATTCCCTAATTTCCTGATATAATTGATTCACTTTGGAAACTAATCTGAACCATTGAATCAAGCGAAAATAGACTTCAACCTTGGTAACCGCTTTCTTTTCCTTCTTTCTAAATTTCAGAACTGTGGGTGGATTTCAGGCTTTTGTTAAAGTCAGAGTTGTATTTAAAAGCTCTCTGATGAGCCTCCACAGAAATACTTCAGCAAATTATACGACTATTTTACTAAGATGCTGCCTTGCCTTTTGGGATCAGTCAAGTTTAATCTGGAAATATAGTAGGACCAAAGAAAATCCTCTATAAGACAAGGCAGAAGGATGCCAAAACCACCCCAGAAAAGCTGATGCACTCAATTTAACACAATGAAATTGGAGAAGCGAGTAAGTCTCACCACGGTTCTGTATGGCTCCATGCTGGAAGTCTGAGCTTCAGCCCTGGCCTCACCTACCCCACCCATCTGTGGTATAGATTACTGAAGGCAGGGATTTGGTTTCAGCATCTTTATTCCATGCCCAGCACCTCAGCCTGTGGTGCACACAACTGAAGCTTGGCAACTGTTTTGACAGTGATACTTGAAGTTAACATAGGGGAATCTGCAATAATTGGAACCATGACACACACAATGTTGCAAAAGCTGGTCATTTGGCTAGTTAGCAGGCCAGCCTACCTCACTTATTCAACTCTGCATTTCAATGCAGTATTATCACCTTCTATTTACCAAAGATAAATTTCATGGGGGAAAACAGGTTTCTAGCAGAGGGATTCTCAACTGGGGTATATAGACAACCACCTGTGAATCATAATGTGTGCATCCAGACCCTACCCTGATGCAGTAGGTCAGTGAACAGAGAGTCTCAGGTGATTTGGATGCAGAGCTTTTGTTAAAACACAGAGACAGAGGCACTCACAAAGGTGGGAATTCCCTAAGGTCTCCTGTTTGGTTTGAGAGTCACTGTGGAGAGCCTGTCTTACTAGAAATTCTCTCCTACTAGGGCTTGCAGCTGTACCTATAACCACTAGACGGTGGCCTGAGTGGGAATGGCCTTGCCTGATATTCATGTCCCTTTTAAAAGAAACAGGACTCCCCTTAATAACACGTGCAGGGCCTTGTCTGAAAAACAGGACCTTAGGGACTGCTGTAATAGGAATTTCCTAACTTTCCCTCATTGTCATTGTAAAACAAATTAAGTTTTCCAGCTTTTCTATCGGGGTCAGCCAACTAAGGCCTTCTGCCAAATCCAGCCCAACCCCCTTGTGCTGAAAATGATTGTTATATTTTTAAATGGTTAATAAAATCACATGAATAAATATTTCATGACGTGAAAATCATATGAAATTCAATTACTAGTGTGCATGAATAAATTTTGGGGGCACAGAGCCACACCCATTCATTTATGAGTAACTCTCATGCAACAGCAGAGTTGGATAATCTCAAAAGAGACTGTATAGTACGCAACCCTGAAAATATTTGTAATCTGACCCTTTACAGGAAAAGTTTGCCAACTCTCATCATTAAATGTTCTCTCTCCCTAGTAAAGCTAGCTCCCCTACGCACAGAAACAGGGAAATCCTACCTCCTAGGTGAGATTCATACAATATCCCAGTAGACCAAGACGTCTCCTGAACCTCCAAAACTCACTACCTACACATCAATTAACTAGCCCTAAAAACCGAGTTTTTTTTAAAGATTTTATTTATTTATTTGACAGAGAGAGCAAGCACAAACAGGAGGAGCGGCAGGAAGAGGGAGAGGGAGAAGCAGGCTCCCCGCTGAGCAGAGAGCCCCACTCTGGGCTCAATCCCAGGACCCTGGGACCATGACCCGAGCCGAAGGCAGACGCTTTACGACTGAGCCACCCAGGCACCCCAAAAACAGAATTTTTATTTATTTTAAAAGATTTTATTTATTTGACAGAGAGACAGAGAGAGCACAAGCAGGGGGAGCAGCAGAGGGAAAGGGAGCAGACTCCCCACTGAGCAGGGAGCCCGATGTGGGGCTCCATCCCAGGACCCTGGGATCATGACCTGAGCTGAAGGCAGACGCTCAACAGACTGAGCCACCGAGGCACCCCCAAAACAGAATTTTTAAAATGAAAAGTTTCCTCACTTGTAAAATGGAAACCTGGTGGCAAGGCTGTTCTAGAAAATCTGAGGTGATTTAGGTCAAGTTCCTGGCACAATGCTGACATATAGCACACCCTCAAAGAGATGGCTACAGGTACTACTATTAACAATGAATTTTGTATTTTTAAATAGTTGGGAAAACCCAAAAGAACCATATTTCATAACATGAAAATTATGATATTCAAATTTCAGTGTCCATAAATAAAGTTTTATTGGAACACAGTATGCCCATTCATTTACATAGTGTCTATGGATGCTTTTGGAATTGGGTAGTCTTGAAGGAGACTGTTTGGCCCACAAGGCTTAAAATATTTACTCTCTGGACCTCTGTAGAACAAGTGTGCATAAAATGCATAAAATGAAAATACTCATATTTCAAAACTTGTGCTTATTTAAAAGATGACCATAAACACAGGGCTGGAATTCTAGCGACTTTCTCATTTTAGAAAACAAAACCAATGTTAAACATCATCATATGAAGCATTTTGTTAATATCCACAGCAAGAGCAACAGTGTTTCTAAGGAAACCTGATTTTCGCTCACAGGGCTTAAGCACAATAGAAGGAAGGCCTCACTGGGGATGACCAGCAACAGTAACGCTTTACCTCATTTATTTCATTAGTTCTTCTGCCTTCAAAGCCAGCAAACACTGTACTCCCTTCCTTGCTAGGGGTCAGAGGAACTGGTGAGGATGATCTGCTATGCACAGGTGTCTCTTCAAAAGGAAAAGATGTTAATTATTCGCTTGTAAATCACAGAGCAACTGAATTAGACTGCCGGATGACTGTTACAGTAAAGAAATTATTAATCTTTAACAATCATATATGATATTTTCCTATCATAAAAGACAGTACCTGAATTATTTGGGGGGAAAAAAACAGGAAACAAGTACGGATATATGCTACAACATGATGAACCTTGAAAACATTATGCTAAGTGAAAGAAGCCACAGACAAAAGGTCACTTACTGTGTAATTCGACTGAAAGGAACTGATGCCTAGAAGAGGCAAAATCCATAGGGACAGGAAGTAACTAGTGGTTGCCTAGCAGGATAGATTAGGGCTGGGGGGAGGGAATGGGGAGCTACTGCTACCAGACCCAGGAGACACAGCTAAACCAGCCAAACATCCAACTGCAGAGCTGAAGGTGTGGTGACTCCTCTCTCTATGCCATAGGGAAAGTGCCTTGTGAGCCTTGGTTGGAGCCAAACTCCTCAGTGGATTTCCCACAGCTGAGTGGGTGAATCTGGGTGTGACTGTACATTCATCCCCATTCCTCTCCCAGCCTCTCTTGTTGGCTGGACTCCTGTCAGGAGAGCAGTGACTGGCACAGGCCACGCACAGAGTGAATGGCTTTCCCACACCTGAGAAGGACCTACTTTTTTCCAGGTGCAGGAACAGCTTTGGCATGCTGGCGGACGTGTCCTGTTGCCGGCGCTTGGGCTGAGGCGAGGCGCTGCTCTCAGACAGCCTGTCACAGTTGGCAGAGTGCCGTGTGGACCGCCTCAGAGACTGCAAGGCTTCTGGTTCAGCTTTGCGCCTTTTGGGGGTGGCTGGTTCACCTGTGGTGGGCTGACTCTCCGTGGACTGCGGTGTGGATGGATTCAACAAAGGTGGGCTTGGAGAGAGCTCCTCTTGGTTCCTACGGAAGAGGAGAGAACATCTCTCTCTCTCTCTCTCTCTCTCTCTCTCTCTCTCTCTCTCACACACACACACACACACACACACACACACACACACACACACCTGGCCCACAGAATCTCTGCAAAACCTGGAGCAGTTCTTAAATGTCCTCCTTCAGACAGAACAGAAAACACTCTGGACTCCACTCCAGGAGAATTACAAACTTTTACTTTCGAATGTGGCGAAACAAGTGTTTTCTTAAAGAGTAACCAAACATACTTGATCATTTAAAATCCTCTTGATAACTCTGCAAGGCATGCTGGCATTAAAGATTGTGATGCCCCTTTTGTATTTGTCTTAGAGCAATAGTTCTCAACTGGGAGTCATTTTGCCCTACCAGGGACAGTGGCACTTATCTGGAGACCGTGCTGTTTTGCTTGTCACAACTGGCAAAGTGCTACTGGCATCTAGCGGGTAGAGGCCAGGGCTACTGCCCAACAACCTACAATGCCCAGGACCCTCCACCACAAAGAATGATCTCGTCAAGAGAATAGGATTACTATGGTAGCTACACGTGTGGTGAGCAGCATAGCATAACATAGAGAATGCAATCACTGTGTTCTGCATCTGAAGGTAATGTAACATTGTGTCAACTATACTTCAATAAAAGTTTACTTTTTTAATAAACAGAGTAAGAATACCATGCTATCTCACCACATCGTAACTACTCACAAGACTAGAAAGAAAAGCCACACACATCCGCCAAGCTTTGTGGAACACACAGTCCACCCTGGACACTGGCAATCTTAAGATTTGGAGTAGGGCATGGGGAACATCAACACAGGTCCCCAGTGAGTTGCACATGCCTCTCACATAGGGTGAAACCAATGGGAGAGGAAGGCAGGCAGGCTAAGAGATGATCATGAGGCAGACAGAGAACCAGGAGCAAGGAGCCATGAAGGGAAGGGAGAAGGGGATGGTGGGGAAAGACAGCCAAAGCAGAGCATGGCGTGTGACAAGTGGGAAGTTGTTAGTACCCTGTCTTGGGGAGCAGAGTTAGCAGGGGCAGTTGGTAGACAAAGGCAGAGCATAAAGTAGGCAAGAGCAGAAGAAGTGGAAATCATGAGAACAAGCCATTCTCAGGAAGAGAGGCATAGGAAGATAGGGAAGCAGCTTATACAGGTGAAGGTACAGACTTCAGGTTGGGAATTTCTGCCCCCCACTCCCCTAACCAAACAATAGAGATTTAGGCATGCTTGGTGACCGAGGAAAGAAAGTAGTGACACAGCAGAGCAGGAAAGGAACTAATCTTTAGTTAAAGGCAAAAGGTTGCCAGCCCTTTGTGAACTTTCTCCTTTAATAACTACCCAAGGAGGCAGCTGTTCTTTCCATTGTGCAGAGGCAAAAGGAAGAGCCTCAGAAGGCATCTCCTCAAGTCACATAGCCAGTAAGTGAAGGAGCTAAATTCAAACCCACATCTTCTGCCCTTCTCAGCCTGTGCCTTCTTCATTCCATTTGTCTTTGGAAAGACAGGTTAGCTGCTCAAAATCAAACCAAGTTCTCACACTGGAATCTTCACTTGATAAAATATTTTAGAGCCATTTGAAAGTGAATGACGACTTAGCTTCCCCAGGAAAAAACTCCACTCTTCAATCTCCTCCTCCAAATCTGTTGGCCCCACAGCATTAGATGGAAATCTTCAAAGACAGAGTCAACTATTCGGTTGCTGACATCTGATAGTCAAACTGCAGACTCTCTAACTTACCTGTTAGTGTTTGTGGCACTTTCCTTAATTGGAAGAAAAAACTTGGATGAAGTCACCTTTTTATACTGAACTTGTTCATATGGATAGAGTAAAACCAGTGGGAGTGTGTAATCAAAGGTTATTCTTAATCCATCCACCATCTCCTTACAAAGGTCAACACTAGGAGAGTAAGAAGAGATCAGAGATGCAGTAAATATTTTCCAAAACGTCATAATGAAGTTGCATGTTTTTAATAAGGCAGAGCTTTAAACTTAAATGCTATATATTATACCCACACTTATAGAGAATACAATGAGTTTGTAGACGCTGCCAACAAATTAAATGGAAACATTGATCTATAATATAAAGTGAAAAAAATACACCAGTAGTTTTAACTTACTGCACTGAACACAAGGAGCCCGAGCAGCCTGTGCTGCAGAAGGTGGACAGGCCCCAATTACTGGGAGCTGAAGGGGGTAGACCTGATGAACTAATCCTAATACTTGTTTCAAATCAAACAATCTGCCTGTCTGACTCTAATCCAGCTGGGTCACATGCACAAGGCAGGCTATGAACACGATTACCCTGCCCGAATAAAAACCTATTTGTAAATAAGCTTTGATAAAATTTTCTTTGCCCATTCTGGTGCTTAAGGACAAAGAGTTATCTCCCTATATTATATCACTGAAAAAGACTGGTCTTGGTGTTGAGGCAGCGCATACTCAATATATCCAGACCAGATACCTAAATAGTTATTGAGCATTTCGAAAAAGGGACAATATTTTGGTATTAAATTTGTTATTAAATGAATTAATAAGTTGAGTGATATATTAAATGAACTCCACAAATTTCAGAAATAGAGTGTCACCTGTTCTAAATGGAAGTCACTTCTCTAATACACAAAGAGAGAGCCACTGAGGCATCAATTCCCCCCTCCCTCACTACTCACTTCTTTTCTGCTGGGATATAATGCACATTCATATTGGCATGTGGCATAGCATGATGGTGACGAGGCCTCTCATTGGCTGAAAAGGCTGCATTGATAGCAAAATGCTTCACGTAGGATTCCAAAATAGTTATGATGTTGGTCTGGCATGGAAGTTTCACTAACTGTTAATAAAAAAACAGACATCTGATGCATGCATCTCATTGTATAAACCATATATTCCTAGAAACAGTGCTCTTGTCTATATAAATTTAACTCAAAAATAAAGCCAATTCTGTTTGAGAATCTTTTTTTTTTTTTAAAGATTTTATTTATTTATTTGAGAGAGAGAATGAGAGACAGACAGCACGAGAGGGAGGAGGGTGAGAAGGAGAAGCAGACTCTCTGCTGAGCAGGGAGCCGATGTGGGACTCCAGGATCATGACCTGAGCTGAAGGCAGTCGCTTAACCAACTGAGCCACCCAGGCACCCCTGTTTGAGAACCTTTTAAATAAATATGCCTTGAAGCTCTATGACTGCTTCTACTAATCATCACCCATGAAGACTACAGTATAAATTTAAAAAAATAAATGTAAGCAGTGATTCACATCTTAATGATCAATTACAGCCACCTGGGGAGACTATGGCCACAGTCAGCCTCCATGACAGCTCAATTATGTCTTAACCTCTCTTTAAAATATTTGAGATAGCGTCCATGTGCGTATGTAAGGTGGGAGCGGCAGAAGGAACGGAGGGAGAGGGAGTGAGAGAATCCAAAGCAGACTCCCCACTGAGTGCAGAACCTGATGTGGGTCTTGATCTCACGACCCCAAGATCAAGACCTGAGCTAAAACCCAAAAGTAGGACGCTTAACTGACTGAGCCACCCAGGTGCCCCGTGTCTTAACCACCTCAATGAAGTCCAGGTATAAAGAGTTTGACAAAGCTCCCTAGAGGATTCTAATGGACAGCCAACGCTGGGAAAGACTGTGCATGCCTTAATTCAATCAGCAGCAGAGCAGTACTGTCAGAGAACTTTAAAAACCTAACTCAGCACAAAACTTAAAATATGAATTTCATTCTTATAAGGTTCGTAATTGTTTGAGTCTGTGATTGTAAAATACGGCTAAATGAAAGCTCTATTACAAATCCATGTTTTATGTATTCTGCCTGCATACCCGTTTCCTCCTGTTGATATAGTAACAATCATCCTCAAGCTTCTTTTTCAGAACTTCAGGAATTTCTATAGTTATTGTTCTTTCTTCCATTTCCCTTTTTGTGTGCAGCTCCGGTTCTTCCTTCTGCAATATCACAATTTCATTTTTAACTACTCATAACAGTGAGAGAGTCTATAGCCAAAGGAAGACTAACACAGGAGAGCCTACTATGAAACAAACCCGGTTAATCCTCAACATTCATACCAGAATGCCACATGTCCTAGAGAAAAGTACATTAAAGGCCAAAAGTTAATGTATTTTAGGGCACTAACCTATGTTACCAATGCTAATTTTGCTTCTCCCCCTTTTAAGTTTGCCAGTGATACTTATGTTAACTTCGAAGGCAGGCAGAAGATGCCAAAGTCTGATACACAAGATTTAAAAACTAATCACCATTATAAAAATAAAGTTCATGGCCTCAATGGAAAGAAATAGGTAACTATGATTTGTGAAACTATGATAGGTAAAAAGAGCTACCAAGAGGTTCATACAGTGACTATAAATATAAATAAGGATTATTTTCCCTTAAAGATCAAGTGCAACTTTACAATATCTAGTTAAAACAATGCATTTTTACAAAATGATCTGCAACTGAAGAATTTTATCACATAATTTTACCACTAAATACATGCCAAAGACAGCATTTTTACAATAGAAACTTTATACCACTTCCGTCTTTTCTTCAATATCACTTTCTTCACTTATTTCTTCATCCTTTTCTTCACTACTGTCATCAGAGGAACTGCTTATTGCTAGGGAAAACAAAAACTATCAGGCAAATTGGCATCATATACTTCCCTAACCTTTACAATTATAATTCTTAAGGTGGAGCGTGTGTTCTACTATTGGCAATAATTAACTGTAGTCCTGTATATATTTTAAATGCTGAACACAAATGCTGTACCTTTCAGAATAAAAATTTATTTTGATAAATATAACACCAATTTCAATGAAGGCAAAACCCACACAAGTTAATGATCTGAAAGTGTTCAGTCACCTAGGATTCTACGGTTCTCTGTTGTATTCATAACGGGCCAAGGCTCAGGAATTGCCAAGAAGAAAACGTGAGGGATTAGTACAAATAAAGACACTGGCTGAAAAGGCAGTGGTCATGCGCAAGACTGATGAGATATTATGGACTAACCGACTGCTACTTTAATTGTTAAAAACAAAAGGGGCACATGTTATATGTAATGAGATTAAAATGTTTCCTTGTCTGTAATTGCAATGACTCCTACCCTCAATCCTGTGGTATAAAAGGACTACGTAAAAGTTCTTTTAGCCAGAGAAAATGAAGTCAAGCCACTCACAGTTTTCATCATTTTCATCTTTTTCTTCAACAGGGAGGCTTTTTAAGACAGAGTCAACACCAGGCAACCTGCAACGCTTCTTCTTTCTTCCTGTGCTTCTCCTGAAAGAAAATAAACGCAACTGAAATAAATTTTGATGCTGACTGATATGGGTCTTGAAGTACAAACAAGATATAACCACGGTTGGGGCGCCTGGGTGGCTCAGTTGGTTAAACAACTGCCTTCGGCTCAGGTCATGATCCTGGAGTCCCGGGATCGAGTCCCACATCGGGCTCCCTGCTCAGCAGGGAGTCTGTTTCTCCCTCTGACCCTCCTCCCTCTCGTGCTCTCTATCTCTCATTCTCTCTCTCTCAATTAAATAAATAAAATCTTTAAAAGAAAAAAAAGATAAAACCACGGTGATTCTCTAAGGACCTAAAAATCATTAAATCCTAGAACATAAATGTTAATCTCCACTTCAGAAGCTTAAACAGTAACCACACTGAAAACACAGCATTTAGAATACAAGAGCAATTCTTCACGAACACACTTTAAATACATATGGTTATTAATGAGCCATGTTTGTCATATTTTTACTTTTATATTTTAAAAGTTCTAAACACTAAAAGAAAACACACTGAATAACATTTATGTCATGATTTTTGTATTCTTACAGGCGAGCTACAGCTTTTCTTGCCAATTTACGCTGTAATCTCCGATTTTCATCGGTGTCACGAAGGACATGATCTTCAGCTGCCCATCTATCCCAGCTAATCAAACAAAAAAAGGAAAAGCATGTAAAATTCAGTGTTTTAGTTTGATACAAAACAACTGCTAAAAGCACCTCACAGAAACAGAAGTGTCCCAGAAGTACTTGTTTTAGAAAACTACTTAAACATTTTAAAATCACAAAAAGATGCAAATAAACTGAAAAAGGAACTCACGCAGACACAGAAACAACTAGGGTTTCTGGAATTACCCAGAGAGAATCCAAATATAATTGACTTAAAGTAATCATTCTAAAGAATAAGCAAGGTTTGATAAAAAAGCAGAAACAGGAAGTGAAGCTTTTCTACAAGTGTTTCTAAAACTTAAATAAGTTTGCAATGTTCTTGTGCTGCAAAGATGATCAATTTTCAATCCTGTTTAACAAGTACACTCACCTTCTGTTCCAACCATTAAAATGGATCAGATATTCTGGGATCTTTCTGCCTTTTTCGTCTTTCCCAACAATAACATCGACAATCTGAAACCAGGAAATATTGTCCGCAAATGACACAACATACAGAATACTGGAAGCTAGATCAGGAACACTAGATCATAGATCTCTTTTTAAAAGAAAAGAAAGCATTCTCTCCTTTTTTAGACTGAAAGCTGGGTTGAAACATTTTTCCTTTCAATTCCATTTTTTTTCCTGAGTGGATGCCTCAAAATAGGAAACATCCCTCCAACCGCCCCGCGATTGGTCTCTGATACTGAGACTGGGTTCAGCTTCTTTGAAGCCATTGGCCGACCGATTTGTCACTAACTAAAGAGTCCAGGCCAGACAAGAGAGCTGCAGCCCCGAGACCTCTGGGAGTTGTAGTCTCCCCTGCTCAGCCGCATCCAAGGCCAGGACGGCTGGCTGATTATGCCATCCCTCCCGGAGGGGTCCCTAGAGGGAACATCTGGGGCAAATAATGAGGCGTGTTACCCCTAGGGAAGCTCAAGGCGGGGCGGGAGGTTGGACAGCAAACAGCCAGAGGCTGCGGGGGCGGAGCCCGAAAACAACACGCAAAACCTAGAGGCCTTGGGAAGTCCCCTTAAGGCCAGAGTCACCCAGAAGCACCTGGGGCCCGAGGCCAGCCCCCAACCCCGGACTGCGGTGCCCATGCCCACTCGTAATCCAGGCCCCAGGAGCTGCAGTTGTGGTTCGGTTCCCCCTACCTTCCCCCAGTCCCCGAAACTTAGACGGGCACAGGGCGCGACTCGGGGACTGAAAACCTAAATGCTGCAAGACACCAAGGGACGAAAGCTACCGGGTCAACACTGCCCTCGGGTGGGGAGTCGCGGCCTAGAGGAGGGGTCGGGCCCAGACACGATTGGTCCTCCCACGTAAAGACGTCGCGAGTCGACGGCCAGTGCTATGGCGCTACTACAGCTTAGGACCTGGCTCGGTCAGTCAGGGCGTCGCACGGGAGCCCAGGTAACGATGGGCCGCGCAGAATGCTGAGAGATTTAACAAGAAGGTGAAGGCCGCCGGCAAGCGACCTCCTCGACGCGCAGCCCTCGCTGGCGTCGCGTGCGCAAACCGACGTCGCGGCCCCAACCTCGCGACACTGCACGCGCGAGGTTTCCGATGGCGCGTGCGCAGCCCAGCGCCGGGAGGAAGCGGAAGCGTCCGGGCCCCGACTCCCCCGCGCGGCGCCCCGAGAGCGCCCCCTGCTGCACGCACGGCGCCGCGCAAGCCGAGGAGGCGCCGGCATGGATCGCCGGGCCCCGCCACTTCCCCTGCTCCGCGCGGCCGTCCGCACCCGCATCCGCCACCCGTCCCGGGGTCCCCGGCCCGCGCCTCCTCCCTGTCCCTCCGCGGCGGCACCTTGGCATCGTACAGCACTCGCGCCTTGGTGGGGTCAGGCTCGAAGCACAGCACTTTCTCCCCTGAGTGGAATTTAAATTTCATGCCCTCGCTCGCGCTCATTTGCTCATCGTGGCGGAGGGCGAGGCTCCGGGGCGGGCGGAGCGCGCGCGGTGGGGGAGGGGGGTGGGGGCGGGGAGGTGGCGCGCAGCGGCGGGGGTGGGGGGAGGGAGCGGGGAATGGCGGAGGCTGCGGCCGCCCCGCCCTCAGTCCCGCCTCGGCCCGCCCCGCGCCGTGGCCGGACCTGGGAGCCGCGGGGCGCGCGCGCTCCCGGCGGAGCGCGTCTCCGCGAGTCCCCTTGGGCTCGGGAAAGACTGCGGCCGGGAACGCTACCCGTGGCCGTGGTCTTCCGGCAGAACGGCCCCTCCCGCGCTCGTGGGAAAGGTGGCCGCCGCGGGCTGGGCCCGCGGGGTCATCGGGCCGGGTGCGCGCTCTCCGGCCCCGGGGTGGGAGGCGCCCAGGAGAGAGTCTGTCTGGGGTGGGCGCTGGCGGCGGGGAGGCCAGCCGGCGGCCGCCCTCCAGCAGCCACTGGCCCCGCCGCGTGGGCCATCCTAGCAGAGCTGCGCGCCGCCGAGTGTGGCTCCGCGAGGAGGACGTCGGGCTGGAGTCGGGTCTAGATGGGCGAAGGGTGGGTGAGGGAGTGAAGAAAGCCCTGGGGCATACCTGGGCTGGGACTAGCAGGTGGCAGGCCTGGAGCCCTCCAGTGACAGCGGGTGAGCATTGGAAATGAGGCTGAGAGGTCCTTAACCAGGTCGTTAACATCTTAAGTCTCAGCATGGTTTTTCAACCCCCAGCACTCAAGAGTTCTCCCTCAAGATCTGTTGCAACACGTTGAAAATTCCCCAAAGGCGGAAAGTACTGTGAAGTTGGTTCTAGAAGGTACCTGCACCAACGAGGTGAGGTGCTCAGGAGAACTTGATGAACAAATGACAAGTGCTGGGAGACTCTTGAAAGGCAAACCTCCAGACACAGGAAAGAAGGTGCCGAATTTTTTGCTTTCTTTTGAGGGATGGAAAGTGTTTAGGTAGTGAGTGTAGTTACACTGGATTAAGACCGGCCTAGAGACCATCTCTGAGGCTCTGAGGTCGTGGTCTATTCCTGCATCCAGAAATTTGCCCTTGCCCTCCCCTTCACTGGGTTTCTTGGTATATACATCCTTTACATTTCAGCTTGGACACTGCCAAGAGAAAAACCCTCAGGCCTCCCTACATGAATCACATACCCATCCAATATTCCCTCCCAGCCTTCTATTTATCTGTTTCATGCATTTACTGTATTCTGCAGTAGAATGGGCTGTTCGTTTCCAAAATGCTCTCCATAAGATGCTCAGTTCCTTGAAGTTGGGAGGGCAGAGCTGCGGGGAGTCTCATCCAGTTCATTAGGGCATATTCCTGGCACACAATAAATGTTTAGTGAATGAATGAACAGATTACAGATTTATGAAATAGAACCCCCAAAATTCGGTGACCAATTGGACTTGACGGGGGAAAAGGAAGGAGGAATCTTGAGAGGCATCCAGATTTTCTGGCATAATGAGTTGGGTGAGTGATAGATCCACTGGTCAAAATAAGGGCCATGAGAGGGACAGGTTGGGGGAAGATGGGCAGATAGTGAGCTGTGTCTATAATACTACAGTGGTGAAACCAGAACTGGAGCTGTGATCCTTCTTCAGGTTGTGGATTATCAGGAATGAGCTCTTGGTGGTGATGTTCCCCATAAATAGTAGGGGGAGCTCTAGGGCACAAGTAATTGCCTGCCATGGCTAAACCACATCTGAATATTAGCATTTTTATTTTTCTTGTTGGAGAATGGAGATTTCCTTTCCAGACTCTAACCTTGCAGGGCAAGACTTCAGATGCTTTCCTTTGTTTCTCTCCATTTCCACCCCTTCTTATGTCCTTGAGCAACACCTTTTCCTCTGTTCCCCCTCAACAGTCCAAGAATGCAAAAGCCTCCAGTGACAGTACCCCTTGTCGGCCTCCTCTAGATTAGGAACCACTAGAGAGGTCTCCGTCTTTAATGTGGGTGGAGCATCCTTTTCCCTCTTACGTGCAAAGGTAGAGAACATGGAGGAGTCTATGATCCAGTGCCACACTTATCACTTCTAGTTTATGACCTTGGGCAAGTGATTAGTCTCTGTGATGCAGTTTCCTTACATTTAAAGATAAGAGTGGCTCCTACTGGGGCGCCTGGGTGGCTCAGTTGGTTAAGCGACTGCCTTAGGCTCAGGTCATGATCCCAGGGTCCTGGGATCGAGCCCCACATCGAGCCCCACATCGAGCCCCACATCGAGCCCCGCATCGAGCCCCGCATCGGGCTCCCTGCTCGGCAGGAAGCCTGCTTCTCCCTCTCCCACTCCCCCTGCTTGTGTTCCCTCTCTCGCTGTCTCTCTCTCTCTCTCTCTCTGTCAATTAAATAAATACATAAAATCTTAAGAAAAAAAAAGAGTGGCTCCTACCTCCTTGGGTTGTTTTAGGAATAAATCTACTCAGTGTACATGTGTTTGTGTAGTGCCTGGCATATTATAAGTGTTGGGTATATGCTTGTCATTAATATTGGCATTTCTTGGTCATTTCTCCTTGACCTCATTCATTCATTGAACACACACACACACACACACACACACACACACACACACATATATATATATATTTTTTTTGAGTAATCTCTATTCCCAACGTGGGGGCTTGAACTCACAACCCTGAGATCAAGAGTCACATGCTCTACCCACTGAGTCAGCCAGGCACCCTGTGCAACAAATATTTATTGAACCTCCTGTGTACTGGATGCTAGACACACAAAGTAGAATACAGATACTACCCCTGGTCTTAAAGAAGACACATTTTAGGAGGGGCACAGCAGCAGGCAAGTAAGTGCAAGCATCATGCATCTCCCTAGGAGGAGGGAGAGTGTCAGAAAAAGCTCAAGAGAGGAAATCTCTCTTGTTAAATAATCAGCTGAAGCATATTAAAAATCTTTAAGAATTTGAGCAAAAATCCACTGGAATCAGGTAGCACCAAACTGGAAGTGCTGAGTACTTCAGTATCAGGAGCCCAGAGAGAGATTTTTATAGAGAAAAAGTAGAAATAAAGAAGTTCTTGATTGGCAGTTGCGTAAAAACTAGTTTGGCTGTTTGTGACTGGTTATCCTTAGTGTTTTATTTCATAACCTTGAGGAATTTACAGGCTTAGGTTTTAGGCTGCCAAAGCATTAGAGCTACGTCAGTCTCACAGCCTCCTTGTCGAATTAACTTAACAATTCGCCCCTTTTGGTCATCTTATACGTGAGAGAATGACCAACACTTTGGTATTTGTGCCACACTCAGTCACCATCAGAGTTAAGTTGCTCTTGTCTCATTGTGAAGCTCATAGGTTATGATGTCAGATCCGTGGAAGAAATGTTTTTGCTGTTCATCTTGTTTCTGTTTCTCCAAGTCTCTGCGGTGAGACCATCTGAGGTGCTGCTGATGGCTGTGAACATGCACTTAAGACCTTTAAGAGAAAATAGCATACCAGAGGACTAAAATGATGACTTAGTATAAGGATAATACCAAGAGACGGAAGTATACTCCTCAGCCAGGGTCCCCATGAGCCAAACCAGTTGGTATCAAATGCATTTGCTGCGAGACCAGACGTGTTGGTCCAGGTACTGCAGGAGGTGTCTGCTATGGCACAGGCTCCTCCTTGTTCAGCCAGTCAGTAATCTGAAGCAGTTCTATGATCTGAGACCATCTTAGCAAGAATGTCTAGAGACTTTGCTGTGTGGCTATGGCCTTAGCAGTAGATTCAGCAATAGTTGCCCGAGTGAAGGAGCATTATTTTCCTGTGCGTTACCAGCGAGAAGAGGCAAGTAGCAGAAAGGCAAAAGGAATAAAGGTTCGGATTGGAGATGAAGATCTTGATCCGTGATCTTGGGGGAGCTGTCCACCTCAAGATGCCATCTGCTTCTGAGGAGGAACCTCCCTAGTCAAATTGAATTTTAGATCTCCAGCTGGTGTGCAGTTCCAAGAGTCTGGAGGAGCCCTTTTAAACTGGGAGAAGTGGCCCCAAGTTCAGGTACCTGAAGTTGGACTGTGGTCTTGGCAGGCAGTGAGAAGGACCGGGTATGGTTTCTTCCAGGGGTGTTCAAGGGCAGCCTTTGTTCTTAGTGACTCCAAGTCAGAAGGGTGGGAGAAGATTGGAACCGTTGGCCTGGAGAGTTGTAGCCAGACATTTGAGGAAACTGGGAGAATTCAGGATCCAGTTCAGGTTATAGATACACAGTAGTTTCCTTTCTTTCTTTGTTTTTTTTTTGTATCGATTTTTTATTTACATTGTAGTTCGTTAACATATAGTGTAATATTGGTTTCAGGAGTATACAGTAGTTTCTTTTCACCCTTATTATTTCTAAGTAGGTTTTTTGGAAGTTTTATTTATTCAAGGAATCTTTACACCCTGTGTGGGGCTTGAACTCACAACCCCCAAGATCAAGAGTCACATGCTTCTCTGACTGAGCCAGCCAGGTGCCCCTCCAAAGTAGTTTTAATTATATATGTTGATTAGAATTCTTAACCCTTAGAATCCTTTGTTCCTAGTGAAAACTAAGAAGTAAGCAATGTGGACTGTCGGTTACACTAGCGTTCTGTGGATTGGGAAATTTATAAATACATTTCACATTTTCTAGAAGTATATTCTTCATAGTAAAATTTTCAGTGTGGCACAAAAGATGTTTATGAATAGATCCAAATATCTTTAGTTCCTCTGTAAAAGAAAGCCAAAAGTGAATAAACCTGTGTTCAGTAATTAATGTTTTAGTATTTTATCATATTTGGAATGATTGAGATATTCAATGAATAGCCATCATTTAACTTATCTCAGTATAACTAGGGTTTCAAGTTCTCAAAAAAATTTGGGAAACTGTATTTAAGTAGACATACCATATAGAATATTTATTATTGAAAATATATGAACTTTGGGTGCCTGGGTGGCTCAGTCATTAAGCGTCTGCCTTCAGCTCAGGTCATGATCCCAGGGTCTTGGGATCAAGTCCCTCATCGGGCTCCCCGCTCAGCGGGAAGCCTGCTTCTCCCTCTCCCACTCCCCCTGCTTGCGTTCCCTCTCTCGCTCTCTCTCT